TTATAAATAATAGGGCCAAGCTAGTCTGTAGATGTATTTTTTTCAGCCAGATGCAACACTAATGCATACAGCAATTGAGTATGGATGCACAGTGGCATCTATCTTCTTTCCCAAAAGGAGATCCACAGGAACAGCCGTCACTTGAAGGTGCTGTTGGAAATTTACAGTGACACCAGAGAATCTCTTTCAGAATATTAGAATAACTGACCTGTTGCGGCACAAAGTTATTAATGAAACATCTTTGCACAACTCAGCTCTGAGCACATCCGTGTTGCGTGAGTGTGTCTGACTCTATTTTTATTTGCATGTGTTTTACAAACACCCTTATACATTCTCCAGCCATTTACTATGGCTAACCCCTAAAAATGCACGTGTGTGCATGTGTACATATAAAACCTCTTTTAACACTCACAAATTTTGCTGCTGGTGAATGCACTTCACTACCCTTGTTTTACAATCCCCTAGTCTCTTGTTAACTTTGCTCCTTTTATGTTCTTTTACATATAGATGCTTGCAACACTTGTTTCAAGATTTCTAGCACCCCTAGTAAAAACATGTCTATATATGTAACAGATGCACAGGTGCTGCTCAAGACGAATGTGCTAAGGATAATGGACTGTCATTGGATTCCTCATAATCTTATTTTCACCTGCTTGTGTGCTGCACACTGGCTAGCAGGGCTACTAACACACTTGGTTGCAGAGAAGCAGATTCCAGGTTCAGTGACAGCTTTATAAAACCAATATCACACCCTTTATGAAAATGCAAGACCAAAGAAACACACCTAGATAAACATAGCAGCTCAGATATTGTAAGAAAATACCTTTAACAAGTTCCTGAGCTAGCAAATATTCTCACATGTTTTATATTAGCTTCACTGTACTAGCACTAACCACAGCACAGCTGGAAATATGATGGTTGTTGAACACTGAATTTTCCCAATATATCACTGTTATAGAAACACCTGTGCTAAATAATTCCAAGCTCAACCACTGGCAATTCAACTCCAATAAACCCTGGAGTTGTCTGACTTGTTATAATCTAGGGAAGGGTTATAGCCCTGGTGGCAGGCAGGCTGGAGGCTTTAAAGAAGGCAGGTTCCTGATCTCAGGCTGATTTTTCATTGTAGCTCTTCTACAGCACATCTTTGCTACTTGGTTTATCAGGCACTTTTTTGTCACTTTGCTTTGATTTTTTTTCTTTATAAAAGCAATGCCGTGGAGTCTATTTGGAGGTCTGATTAGTGGCCATGAACACTGGCCATCTGTTTTCATATGCTGCTACACTGAAATACACCTGCCGCAACCAACAGAGGATAACCAGTAAGTCCTACTCTGCACTGGGCAAAGGACTGATGGGCAGAAGGGACTATTCCAGACCTGTTAGTCCAAAAACTCTCTTGGAGATGGTGACAGCAACCAAGGACACTCCTGGCTGCCCATAAATTCAGAGTTCAGAGGGAAAACAGAGACTGGTGTTAATCACAGGACCAGTCAGGGTAAGTCACAGCAGCTTGTTGGCTGATGGTAGGTTGGTAGCCAGAGAGGGAAACATGGAAGGATATAACATTAAGTAGGACCTCCATTTTATTTGACATCTGTTTACGCTGTCCCCTTGTATTGCTCTGAACTGATACTCCTGAGCATCAGTTATTTCACGCAATGGGAAAAAAATTGTCTTTAAATGGACAGATACCACCTGCACTTAGGCTTAGAGGTGTCTGAACTTGTTAACTGAATTGTCTCCATTACCTTTTTTAATGTGTTTTTTCAACACAGTAAAAAAGTCTACCCTTGCTAAGTATCATCTATTTTGTTTGTATGCTAATCTCATCACTAGAATAGGTATCACACTGGAAGACTGAAAAAGTATTAATGCTGAAATGGTGAACGGACTTGTATCTGACTTTTCAGTGCTTTGCCATTTGTATATCCATTTAACACTGTGCAGAGTGAACGTATGGATCTTACCAAGCTGGGATGGCAACCACTCACTCCCTTCACAGGGTACCAGTTTGGAGAAGGAAGCTCTGTAGGGTTTTTTTTTTTCCCCCCTGGAGAGACCATTACTAATGACCCAGATGATCTGGAATCAGACCTGCAAAGCTGAGCATGTCAGCAGAAATGTAAGACGTTAACACTTCCCTTTCTGGCTAGACCTCAACTTTTGTATTTTACATGAATAGCTGTATTACTTGACTTGTGGAGGACATATGCCACAAATTGCTACCTTACACCAGTTAACAGTTTATTCATGACACTCTATCCTGTATCTGCTTCTCCCCAGCCTATGTAACTTCACCAAACGGAGTAACAAAGGCCAAAAATCTTTGCCAGTATTTCTATTTCCAAACTCAGCTCAAATGAGCTGTGGGTCTGACCTCCTGGTCAGTCTGAAAATACTTTGAACGTGTCAGAAGTTGGTGTAAATCACCTTATATTCTTTCTTTAAAAGGGCAACTGTTTACTTCCACTTTGCAAAGGACTGCAGAGGGCCCAAGGCAGGAGTTGTGGGTATTTCAATGCACACCTTCCAAAACAGTGCAGGAACAGCCTGTAGCTGTACTCGCTGGCTACGCACCTACCATCACAGTGTCTATGGTGTTACTCAAACAAGTTAAAGTATTTGCATGTAATAAGGCTACCAGTTCCTAACACACCCTACCCACTGTCTCACTGACTTTTGGGGGGCTGAGACCCTCAGCTGGGGTGAGCAGCTGCAGCTGACGTAGAGCAGCTGAGGACACAAACCTTACGTGCCCACCTTCACCGTTTTCTCCTAGGCAGGAACCCAGCGGGTTCCTCCAGAGCAGCCAGGGCTGATGACTGGCCAGCTGTGGACTAGTGTTACTGCTTACCTATTGACTCATGCTTGATTAACTGCAAATCTTTACAGACCCAAGCTAGAAAAAGGAGTTTAATTCTCAAATACATCCCTGTGGAGGCACAGTAAGCTAGCTGCCGTAACACATATCCATTTCCACTGTCACTCACTTGCACAAGTGAATATTTCACACAGGGAGATGCGACGTGATACAGAGTACAGTTAATTTTCTCAGGATTAATATTTAACAGAGAACAGTATTGGCCTGACTAACTTCTAGCCCAAATATTTCAACTCTTAAATGACTTGGTAAAAACCTGCCAGCTGAAAGAGACACTCCTAGTCACACAACAGGCCTAGACTGGCAATTAACTGGAAAGCCCTACAGCTGCTCAGAATCCGCAAGCACTTTTCGCAGAAACCGGACTATTTCTTAAATTCAGCAGAGCCATATCAAATGGCAACAAGCATTCTGTCTCAAATCTGCTCCGTGGTACTGAGATAACACCCAGTCTTGCAGACTCTCAGCTGGCTAGAATGAAAAATTGTGACTGAATTTGCCATACACTGAGATTTGCCAATAATAATTTTCAGCAAGGAAGCTAGAGTTTGTGAAATTGTAAACAGAAAAGATGATGGAGTTTTTACATACACTCAGACTCAAAAGTAATGTAACTCGTTTAGGAGACCCTACTCTGCTGAAGGATCAGGCCCTTGCCATAAAAAGGAAAAAATGAATGCAAGTTCGGTTCGTAAGGTGATTTTTTTAAACACTTGTTACTTCACAATGCATTACGTCAGCTGACAGATGATTTTAAATAGTCCTTGATTTTGAATATTAAAATATGTCAGAGCTCACAGTTCTGAATCAGTGTGATAAGCAACTTAATCTGTGCTAATTGGTCTTCAATGGTTCGATGATGCCTTCTTACACTCTGGACTCATGTCATTATGTCATCTAATTTAATATGAAGTTCTGAGAACCATGCACTGGCAGCAGCCCTGGCTATAAATCAAAGCTTCTTATTCAGAGAGACCAGGGTTATGACATCATACCGAGGCACTGGACGGAAGACAATGGTCCTTCTGTGTGGGTCTGAATCTGGGAGAAATATTTCAGCCAGTTCTGCAAGCCCACATTTAAATGAAAGGCCTTTCTAGCAGGTAA